TTATCGTAGAATCATAATGGTTGGAAAAGAGCTCTAAGATCATCAAGTTCAACCATGAACCCGTCCCAACCACGTCCCTCAGTGCCACATCTCCATGGTTCTGGAACAGCTCTGGGCACGGTGACTCCATCTCTGCCTGGGCAGCTGTTTGCAGGGCAAACACGATGATGGTGGTGGGTGCAAGTTGTTCTGGGAAGGGGCGAGTGGCAAGGCAAGGGCCATTGGCCATAGCTGGGAGCTTCAAGCTGGTTATCGAGAGGAGTTTTTCCAGCAGAATGTGGTGCAGCGTGGGCAGAGGCAGCCCTGAGGGTGGGGGAGCTCTGCAGGAACTGGCAGAACAATGCCAGGTGATCTCATCTGGTTGGTGGTGAGCAGAGCGCTGAGCTGGGCAGCTGCCAGGGGCCCCTTATAGCCGATCTGGGAGGCTGTGCCTGGCTGAGTCACTAAGAGAGCCTTGTGATGAGGTCCAAACCACTTCAGCCTGAGATTGCTGTGCAAGTAGCTGTCTCTACCTGCCCCTTGTGCTGGTGTGTGTGGGGGTATTTCTGGCCAGTGCTCCTCTAGGACGGCGTGTGGGGCTTACGCAGCCCTCCCACCTCTGAGGGTGCTTGGAGGGGGCTGCCCCAGCAGGGCTTGCTCATCAGTGACCAGGTAGTGAGTCACAACGTGTTGTCCTTGAAGCAGAATACCTCCCAGTTTTTCCCCAAAGCGTGCTTATATGAAGGGAAAATGAAACTGCTTTCTCCCTGCACTGATTTTAGCCATGTGCTAAAAACCAGTGAGTGCATTTGCTTGGTATCTCTAGCCAGATAGCAGGAGGTGGCCCACATTTCTGAAATTGGGTGCAAAGAAACTTTGTTGGCATGCATTTATTTTCAGCTAGGCACAGTCATCTTAGACCTGAGATTCAGTGATACAGGGTAGATTCATACCGTGACCACAGCTAAGCTGAGGAGTTTCTGTGCACCAGCAGTGAGCAGGTCCTGCTAAGGCAGGAGGGTCTCCAGCAATGACTGGGGTCTGCAAGGCTTCGGTGGCAGTATGAGTTTGAGCTGTAAGTAATCTTCCTTTTTGTGTACATGGACGAAACACTGAGCTTTTGTTTAGGTGAGACCAAAGTTTTCAGAAAGTATCTTGGTGGGTTTTTTGTGGTGTTTTTTTTTTTTTTTTTTAGGTTTTTTTTTTTTTGGTAGGATTTGCAGGAAGAGTAGAAAATTACAGAGCTTCACCATGCGTGCTTCTGAACTGATATCACTGTGAATCTGTTACAAATTATCTGGGAAATTGATGGCTTTGAGAGTGGCTGTTTACCCAATGTGAGTGTAGTTCACACTGGGGTGGGTTTGTTTTGTTGTTGTTTTTTTCTTCCACTGAAAACTTTACCAGTTGTTGCTATTTACAAAGCAGAAACTGGAACCTTCCCTGAACACTGTGCCATTGGCAGGGCATCTGGAAAGGCCGCAAACTGGGTGGCTGAGTTCCTCAAAGCCATTTCCAGGCAGACTCGCTGCTCTCAGCACTGTGGACTGCATGTATGGGAATTCACCCAGTTAGGAGGAAAATGATGACCAGCTGTGGTTCTTCAGCATGCCTTTTCTTTGTGCATCCTCCGTGCTGTGCCTGCTGGAGAGCAGGACAGTGCTGACACACAAAGGTGTGAGTGTGGTGCCTCTTAGCCACGGTTTGGCACTCCTTGAAGGCAGAGCTGAGTGCGTGTGCTGCCTGGAAGCCTGACCAAAAACCTCAGCTATCCCACGACGATAAAGTTCCTGTGTTCCAGGTAGGCCTCAAAGATGAGTCTCAGAGAACTTCCCTTGCTCTGATATTTCATAAAATGGGTGACCGGTCACTAAAGAAAATCTCTATTTTCTACATTTTTTTTGAAAGAAATGTCTATTTATTTCTAAGTGCTGTTAAAAGGCTGTTTTTTCTCTGATAAATACAGTTGATAAATACGTTCCTCCTATAATGACCAGTAAAAAAAATATGTTGAACAAAACCAATCTTCTTGAAAAGAATGGACTGAGGACATGAAGAACAATCAAACCATTTTCTAAGGTTCTACCTACTATCCAGTAAAAGCTGTCTTTTCTTGCTTGCTGCCTGAAACAAGCTGGCCAGTGTCAGGAATGTGTTGAGAATATACCCAGGGATTATAGCAACAAACTGCTTCTGGAGCTATGAAAGATTACTCTAGGAAAAAGGTTAATGTCTGTGGTAAGTTATAGTGAAGATTGGTGTAATATAATAAATAAGAGTGAACAGGAGCAGTATGAGCAATATTGAGATGTATTTGGTCTGAAGAGCCTTTAAAATGGGGTGGTACTTAAAACTGTAACATGAGTTTCAGTTACAAAGCATTTGCATTACCGTTCTCACTAGTGCCCTCAGTTCTGCTGTGCCCCTCAAACTCGGTGCAGAACTGTTGTGTAGGCTCTGTGGGTAGGTCTGATCCCTCCGACTTGCTGCTGTGCAGCTCCTATTGACTTTGGTGGGAACTCTCTCTTGAGAAGACTTGCAGAATCCAGCTGTATAATTGAATCCATCTACTCCCCTGTGAAAAGCTCCCATCCAATGCTCAGTCATCACAAAAACTTCTCAAAACAAATTGACTACAAGAAGAAACAGCTGAGAGACCACCCAAAGCACTAGAACCAAATTAAGCATTAGCCCTTTTTCGTCAACTTGTGTCCACCCTCTCACATCTAGAAACAGGGGGGAAAAAGACATAGTTGTTCCTAATTGCTGGCATCTTCTGTAATTACAGACTTAGAAGGAAAAATTGTTAAATTCAAATCTTTGAAAAGCTGGTCTGTAGCAGCCAATCCTGTGCAAAGGGCTCCCCTTGTCTTGTTGCTCCACAGCAATTCGATCTTTGCTTAATCTGTTCTAACAAAGCAGCCACATTGCAGCAGAGCTTGTTGTTGTCAATGTTGGATTGTTCCCACATGTTCTGTCTAACATCTGCTTAGTGTTTGAAGCCAATCTTTCCCCTTTCTCTGTAGGCATTCAGAGCCATTTATTTCATAAGCCAATGTCAAGATGAATGACAGGAAATTAAAGTTGAATTATGTCTCTTTGGAAAAGCGTGCAGAACAATACATTACAGAAGAATGCTTCATTGAAGACACAGAAGTAAACGAAAGTAACTGCAGGTGGTCTGATCTATCCTTGGTGTTCCTGGCCATGACTTCCCGTTCCTGAAGGAAGGAAGGTGCCAGCTCTGAGCAGAAACACTTCAGCCTGGCCTGGTGAATACTACACAGCTTTTTGATGCAGATAGCAGAGCTCAGATAACTCAGTGACTGCAGGACTGTGGGTTTGTCATGGAGGTTTTTGAAACCCACCTAGCAGAAGTTTTGAAAAGAACCCTCACACAAACACAGATTTTAAATAGTTGTAAGTTGTCATTGATTCATCTCCTTTGGTGCTGTTTGGCAGCAAGCTTGGATGCTCCAGGGCTCCTTATTGGGGAACAGAGGGAAAATGTGGCTGACCTTCCAGTCAGACAGATGAGACAGCAGGAGAGCATTGAGAGGCTATAAACTGTTGTTTTCAAGTGCTTCTGCTGAGCAGTTAGCCATACTTGCTGAAGTGATGTTTGAGGAATGCCTTCAGAGAGGTGCCTGACTTTCCTCTTCACCTTGAGCCACCCCTAGCTGGGCTGTGGCTGTGTTTTATGGTGTGAACGTGCTGTGTGTGTGCAGCTGCTGGGAGCAGAGCTTTGGTAGCATACATACAGCATTCTGAGAGCTTCTGGCTTCCCCTCAGCCAGCCGCACACCTGTACAAGTGGAGCTGCACGAGTGCTTGCTGTTCTTTGTGCTGTGCCTATACAGAACCTGCTCTGCTTTTCTGGGGCAGAGAATGGCTGCAGAGGTGATGCATGCTGTTTGGAGCACAGTGCAAATGGAGTTCAGGTTAACTTTTGCCAGCCCTTAGCTTGATTTATTGGTGGGGCTGAATTTAACTGTTGCCAGACCTTTTCACTTTCCACTTCTTTTCAATACTGTCGGGGAAAGCAGACCTCATCACAGAGTTGAAACTGTCCTCTTCATATATCGTGAGGAGGGTCAGTCTCCATGGATTTCTGAGACCTCCTTGTAGTCTGAGTGCCAAGATAGTGTGGGTTCAAGTAGGAATGTACCAAACTGCTCCCTTGGATTCTGTGAGCTTCTGAAAGCGTAATGTGAATGGTAGGTACTCTCTGGTTGCTGAATACAGATAGTGAAGGTTTAATACAAATTAATTCCTGCTTACGTATTTTATGAAATGGGAAAAAGAAATTCTGGGTTGCGTGGAGTTTGGCAAAAGTGTGAAGGCTGCTAATAACTCATAGAAAGGCCGTGTACTGGAGCAGCATTGCTGAGAGTGGGAAAGCTTCCATACCCATTGGGTGCATCGAGATCCTTTGCTCTGCTGACAGTTTTATGAGGAATGCCAAAGAAGTGGGATGGCAGTGATTCACCTGGAAATGCTCCATCAGCACCCTTCCCTGCTCCAAGCCCTCTAAAATAAATCAGCTTGAACAACAGATGCCAGAAAATATTAGAAAGCCAATAGTGTAAGATATTTCTAGGAAGCCCTGACTTGGAGAGAAGTTTTACCTTTTGTGTGACTCTGTGCAATGGGTTTGTGAACATCTATGGTGAATAACATCCACGTGAAACGACAGTGAGTGTTCATTCAAACATAAGGAACTTATTTCATGTGAGTCAAATAGGCATTGCAACAAAATATACACACAGGAGGAATCTTGAGCTGTTTTTTTTTTTGTAATTATGGTGTTTTTAATAGCAGCATTGTGGTCTTTAAGCAAAATTATCAGTATACTTAGAATTTTTTTTTATATTTCAGTGGGAAACCAAGTGTCACAAATGACAAAGCTGCTTTGTGAGGGGGTGGCTGGAGGTGCTGAGCCCCTGTGTGTGGCAGCTGGGAGCCGTGGGTCTGCGGTGTGCATTGCAGGGAGGGCCATAAACACTGTGTTTTTGGTTTCAGATTTAACTAATCAAGTCGAGACCACTGAGCACAAGCTGCAGAAGGTAACAGCTGAGATGGATCACTACAAAAAGCTGCTAATGTAAGGTTTCTGTTTGCTTGTTTGTTTTGCTGCTGTGCATAACGCTGTTTTCAAAGAGAATTGCACCACTGCTTGTCAGGGTGGTTTGTGAAGGTGTTGACCAGCAGAAGATGCGTGTTGTATTAATCAGCCTGTATTCCTAACCAACTGAGTGAACATGTCTGCCTGTGGAAGCAGGGCTTGCCTTCCTCAGCTGTCTCATGGTGCAGCTGAATTTGGCTCTTCATTTAATGCTAAGCGTGGGATAAATTGTGTGAAACCCACACAACTTCTGGACTGTAAATGTGAATTTACTGCTGGTATTCCCCATGCACTGGTATGTTACTACAGTTTGTAATTTTACCGTGTTGCATGGTTAGAATATGAAGCCCAAATTAATATGGAGTAAAGAAAATGCCATCAAAGCCCTGTCAGGTCTCAAAGAGGGTCCTCACTGCACAACTGGTGGCTCCAGAGCATGGAAAGCAGCAGTGCCTGCAGCAGTGCCCATGCTGAGGCTGCTGCCACTCCTGGGTGATGGGAGGCCACAAGGCTGAGGAAACAAGGAAAAATAGGCTACGCTTGTTAATGTTGTTGTGGCACAGAGCATTCTGCTCCTGTCTCACTGCCCCAGGCAGCAGCTTGGGAGCCCAGGGTCCCCTCCAAGCAGCTGCTCTGTGCTTTGGGGCACGTGGGGCTTGGTGGGAGCTGTCAGCACTTCTAAGGGCTGTGGGATTGGGGCTCTGAGTGCTTTCCTGCGTTGCAAGTCCACAGTGCAATTCAGAAATAACATCACCCTGCGTAGTACACTAGTGAAAATAAATGCTAGTTTCAGATGTGAAGCTGGAGGGCAATGCAAAAGTGCAACCAACCTCGAGACCAAATATTATCAGTTGTTTTCTATGTTTTCCTGAAATTCTAGGGAGGATTCTTTCATGATGCATACTTTCTGTTTTCAGTTCCTATATTCAGAGGGGCTGATCAAAACACGGTTGCAAATATTTGGAATGCTTAGCAACAAAGTATTTTAATGATAATACAAGTATTGAGCATGAAAAAAAAGACTTCATGAACAGAGTTAAATAAACAGTACAGTGTTTCTCAGTGTAATATTAAAATTTCAATGTAATATGGGTGCAATTTCATAAAATGACACATTCTCTATTTGTTCGAGTACAAATAGGAGGCTTAACCATCGTTATTTGTTGGTGAAATGATGACAAAATTACATTTTTTTTTTGCATTTTCCTCTACCATATTAAATTGTTATCTGTTCCTTTGTATTCATTGCCCACCCAAAACATTCACTGGTGTTGCAAGATCACACTTGTTTGCAGCAATTCAATTTTTGTGATCCTGGTTAGGCTGAATTTACACTGCAAGAATGAATATGCTGCTGAAAAGTGTTAGCAAGAAGTAATGGAGTGTTTTATTTATCTGCCTTTTAACTGAACTAGAAAGTGCAAGTTAGACAGTGGATTAATAAAAGTGTTTGGGTCGTTGTGTGAGTAAAGGCTGCCATTGCTTTGGACAAATACACTTTGTTTTTCATTTTCTTAGGGTGAAATCAGCAGAACTTGATGTGTGTCAAAATGAAATGAAAAAAATGAAACATGAAAATGGAATTTCTGAGTCAAGGTAAATGCTGAAGTTGTGTTTTATAGCATGAATGTATTTATAAGCAAGGAGAGCAAAAATGTTATTTATGGCTTTAATGCAGCTGTTATACTGCTTTATGCTGTTATTCTTTTTCTATTTTCAGTTTCTATTTTTGTGCTCAAGTCACTAGATTTAACTTCATGAAGAACATATACTTTTTTGTATAATATTTTCTTTCCCAGGTACGATTTACTTCCATCTGTTCAGTTTCTGTTTGTGATTGAGGATAACTCTGATGTTGCTTTTCATTTCCTCTGTAGACTTGCAAAAGAGCTCAAGGAAAAGGAAGAATCTCTACTGATTTGCCAACAAGTATGCAAACGTTTGCAGGAGGAGGTGGCTGAGAAGGAGAGGAAAGAAGGAGATCTGAGAAGAAGAACCAGTCAATCCGAAAGTGAACTGGAAACACTTAAAGCTCTTCTCACACAAACAGAGGAAGAGGTGGTGATGTTGAAGCAAGAAAGGTAACCAGAGCTGAGTCACCACAGATAATTGCTGTGTTCAGCCCAGGTTTTCTTCTTAGAAGTCTGTAAATACAGTGTGTTCCTTCTCTGCCAGATCCTCACCTCTCCAACAGGTGCTGGAGCTTGGCTCTGCTACTGGGCAGACTGGGAGAGAGGCACTGTGCCCAGCTGTGGCCTGCCCTTGCCTTCAGTCATTGCCTGCACCTATAGGCAGAACTCTGGCAGCACTGAGCCCGTGTTCTGGAACTCTGGAATTCATTGGATGGACTTTAAAATTATTGCAGGATAGACAAAAAGCTGAGTAGAACAAAACATGCCTTTGAAAAGGGGGAAAAAAAGGGGGAAGAAAAGCCCAACACACCAACCCTCTGCTATGCAACCCAGGGCAACCCAGCTCGAGTTTAATCAAAACACCTATTTATTGCTGTTGTTATAGCTGCTATTTGTTATATGAGGCTTGCAGAGAAAAAGCCCTGAAGAGTTCAAATTCCTGTAACTTATGTTATTAGCAACTTGCAAACAGTAACAATGCTATAAATACTACAATATGCCAGGTTTTTGGATGTGATCTACTATTCAGTGCAACGTGTGGACAACACCCCACCAATCTAATCTTATTCCAAAGGTTCTCAGCTATCAACAAAGCTAACCTTTTCCCTATAATTATTTTTCAGATGTGGAAAATGAAGCACTGAGCTACTGAGGCTCATTGTTTCCTGGAATGGTATCGGAGTGCCTTTCTTTTAGACCTCCACTTATCAACCTAAATCCACATTATTTTTATTTGCTTTGAGTATAATCTACATATTCATTTTATTCTGAACGTTCACAGGCTTGTCTCTGCTATTTGAAAGCGTCCTGCTAATACATTTTCACTTACTGATATATTAACTTATCTTTTATTGGCAAAATCAAGTGCTGCCTCCTGCTTGAAATGTGGCAGAATATTCTTTGTTTGACTTGAAAAATATGTTGGGAACAGTGGCTTTTGGAGCAGATAAGGATTTTCTGCGTTGGTGATGGTGCACCAGGAGGCAGTAAGCTATTTTTATAGCTAAAGAGTTTGAATATGCTCTGTATGTGCATATGCAGTGCATGAAAAGATACTGTGTGTTAATTTGAGGATATTTTCCTTCCACTTAAACCCCAGCGACGTGACTTGTTCCAGTTGGTACATTGCTGATAATGTAAGTTAGAAGGATTTGAACTCTCCAGGGCTTTTGCTCCACAAGCCTCACATAACAAACAGTAACTACAACAATAGCAACCACTTCACTTAGTGGTTTTAATTCAGAAGCTATTACACTTTAAAAAATTACTTGTAGTAATGCTCTGGGTTCGTCAACTACAACAATTTGTTTAGAGCATTATAAAAGTTATTCAGTGTTCTTGATTTGACTTGAAAATTTAAAAAATAGTTGAGGCTTGCATGTGTGTATGCAGAAGAATGATTAACTGCAGTATTTTCTTCAACATATAACATTCATTAAATGTGTGAAAGCAGCATGCAAATGCTAAGTAGTGATTACTGTTGTGCCTCTGGGCTTACTGCACAGAATACTAAACAAAGAAAAAGAGGAGCCCTTGCCACAAAGGACTTAATTGCAAGAAAATGGCACACCACCAATCTGGGCAGAGCACATATTTACATACAAGTTTTTGTGGTTTCTAGGGAGTTAATGCTGATTTCTCATCAGAACAGAACAGAACAGCTGCAGGAAACATTAAGGCAGAAGATGCGGAATGAAGATAACTGGAGGGAGAAGGTAATGCTGGCTGTGTAGTTGGCACAATTTCAATGTCTTTTTTTTTCAGTCCCAGTCATCTGTCACGAACCTGCACAGTCAGCCAGATGCCTGCCTCCTTAAATGCAAACATGTCAGCAGGTCCTTTCTGCACAATGGGTGATCTCTCTACGTAGGCTGGATCTGAATGTAAGAAATATTTAGTGTAAGTGTTTGTGGTCGTGGGGGATGGCCAGGTTTGGTTCAGACTTTCCAACTGTTGGGTATTAGTGCAGAGCCCGTGTCACCAGTGCAGACATTGAGATCCCAGGTGCAAACTCCCAGGGGTGAACACCAACAGTCCACCCCAGCTGTGTGCCACAGCCACCTGCAAACCCTGATCTGCAGGAGAGCACGTTGCTGGGGATTTCTGTCCAGACCAATCTGCTTAGAAAAATACGTGTGGAAGGTGTTTCACAGTAAAACCAAGCGTGTGCACTGTTGATGAGGTGGGGAGAACACAGAGCCTTCCTGCTTGCAGGTGAGCTGAACCAAAACTGAAGGTATAGGTCTGTAAAACAGATCTATGTGTTGGGATGAGAGCTGGTAGCCTCGAGTCACACTGGGAAGGTTCAGCTCAGACATGAGGGTAAGAAATGTGGAGATGCTGCACTTGCAGACATGGGTTGGTGGGCATGGTGGGATAGCTTGGTTGGACTTGATGGTCTTAGAGGTCTTTTCCAACTGTAATGATTCTATGCAGTAATAAGCAGGTGAGAAAAATGTACTTTACTTGCTTTGCATTCAAATCAGAGCAACAGATCAGGAGTGCAAGCAGAAATGCCTCTTGATGGGTATCTTCTTACTGGAAGTTTATCACAAGCCTAGCCTTGTCTTCAGTGTGTATTGCTGCGCTCTGCATGCCTGAGTTGTCATTTCTCAGTCATCTTTTATGTGTGCTTGGGTTAGAGGTCTTCTGTCAAAAAATATTCTCCACTGATTTAAAAAATAGATACGTGTGGCCACAGTGTGTGATGGCAGATGGTTTCCCAGCTGTGTGCACAGCACCGTGCTAACCTAGCTGCAGTGTCAGGGTCTCACAGTGGGATGGATCAGCTGCTTACCACGGGCAGCTGTGAGCATGTTGGCTTTGGGGTAACCCGCCACCTTTCCAAAAAAGCAATAGAAGAAATTGCTTGAAGAAACCGTGAAGGAAAAATGCACAAATACTATTGACCAGCAATTCACATTTCTGTTTTAAGCCTTACATAATTGGTAGCTAAAATTAATGTATTTTTGTGTGTGTGTGTGCAGTATGTGATAAGTGTCTGAAAGCTTTATTTAGTCTCAAGAAAATTTTTGGACTACCAGCAATTAAGATCTGTTACACCTCTTTAAAAAGTTCTTCCCTTCTCCGTGGCAGGATATAATTTTAGAATGAGGTCACACTGTCTGCATAATCACAATGTATTGTTCAACTTGACATTAGTACAAGATAAAGGCTGCTGCTGGTGGGAGAGAGCAATTACATCTTTGGTATCACAGCCATTAAAACGCAGTGAGTGCCAAGTGCTCTAAAGATGTTCTCATCAGACAGAAGTCAGAAGTGTGGCAGAGTTATCGTTCCTTGGGTCAGGGTGCCATTGCACACAGTTTAGAGTGTTCCAGTCTTGTATTTGAAATACAGATGAACTTTGAATTGTAATGGGTAAAAAAAAAAATGTTTTATGAAAAACAGGGAAATGGATGTAAACGTTTGTGAGGTTTTTTATAAGTGGTTAATGAGGAGCCCAGAAGTAGCTTTAAAGCAATTAGTAGTCATTCCCTGCAGATCAGCTGCCATTTGTTTTCCTGCTGTGGTTATCAGCTGTACTGTCAAGTATTAGGTATGAAAAGTGCCTGGGTAAGTTTCCAAACGAGTCCATTTTCCATACTGTGCATATTGCTCTGCTCTTAGTAATTAAGTAGCCTCTGACATATGACCTGCTTTGATAGCAATATGTACTGTTGTATTTATCACTGCAGTTAGAGTCCAAACTCCCATACAGTAATGTAGGAGGTACATCTGTATGTATTATAGCAGCAGTGCTCAGTTCTGAGGTCTCACAGTTGTAAGCCAGGTCTCTGAGTGCCTGCCCCATGCCATGGTTGGGCAGATTCTGATGTTAAAAATAATGACAATATTACAGTTTATCTTTTCCCCAGAAAGCGTGAGGGGAATTTGTTACACTTCTGATCATAATTGCTGTAGGAAATTAGATGGTTATAATTAAGCTCATTTTGAGCTTTTAATAATTCTAAGTAATTAGGATAGCTCCGTGCTTGTTTAATGTGCCTTTTGAATTCCTTACATGCTGCAGTTGAGTCCATTAGAATTCAGCCTGCAGAAATACAGTGTTGGCATTCAGGCTTTGGAGCTGGGGACATTCTTGGGTGTGCTCCTTCCCCACCTTCCCCGGGTTCACTGGGAGGCAACAGGCACTTGTCCTCTAGGTGGAGATGGATCTGGCCAAAGGTGAAGCACGGCACAAAGAAGCAATTCTCAAAGTCAGAGAAGAAGCCAGAGTGGAACTGGACTCTGAAAGACAAAAGCAGCAAGAACTAATCACAAAATACCAGAGAGATCAGGAAGAGCTCCAGAAGAAGGTGTGTAATGCTTGAGAGCAATGTTGTGTGGCAGTAGGTGATGTGAACTTTGGGAAGCAGTACGTGAAGGAATAAAATCTGTGTGCAGTCCTGCATCTTGAAGATGCAATGATTTTTTCCAATCTCAGTCTGCAGCATCCGATGGAAAGTTTGGAAAATGGAATGGGTTCATATGTACCACGTGTAGCTGTGGAAGTTCTTGCTTTCCTCAGATTTTCTCTCTCCATGGTTTATCTATGCCCACAGACTGCAATTGCTAATTATGATTAAACTAATGGTGTCAGATTTGAAAGCCTTTGGGCTGTTAGAGACCATGATGGGTTGTCACAGAGCCATCTGCACTGCTTCTTCCCTTCCCATCGACTGTCACTGATGGGTTAAGGTCAGCTTAGCAGCCCAGATCTAGAGGTTTTGAACCTTTTTTTACTTAGAAATTGAAAATGTACCTATAACCTTCGCTTTTAGAGTGTCTTAAAAGATTTGACATAGAAAAGTCAAAGAAATGTGATGAAAATACATTGTTGTTTTAAATTCATGACATCATACTATTTTTAATGAGCTGAAAATAACAATTTATCACAGGTTGTTTGTTGGGTTTTTTTTTGTCTCTGAAGACTTGTGTGCTTGGATTTGTGATTTTTCTTGAAGGTATTTGTTTGATACTTCATTTTATCTATCTAAGGATAAACACTGAATTTAGACTAACACAGTATTTGTCATGCAGATACCTGAATTGATATCCAGTGCCACCAACAGCTTACGGATGGAGGCAGAAATTCTTGAAAAGAAGCTACAAGATGTCCAGATCGAACTTGCAGAGAAAGATCAAGAGAAAGAAAAAGAAATTCAGAGCCTTAAAAGGCTGGTCACTGAACTTGAATTTCAGCTGAAGGTGGAACAGAACAATAACGAATCATTACTGGGTAATCTGAGGAAAGAAATTAAACACAAGTCAGATGAACTGGAAGAATTAACCCAGGAGAGGACGCAGCTGATTCACAGTTTGAGTCAAGTGCAAGAGGAGGTAAGAACGTGGCCAAGGAAGTGCCTTCCATGCTCTTTCTGCTTTGAGACATGTGATTGCAGGAATCATTTGAAGAATACTTATTTCAGATCTTGGTCTGTGCTGTTGTAAGAAAAAAATATCTTTAAAATTAGAATCATAGAATCCTAGAAAGGCCTGGGTTGCAAAGGAGCACAGTGCTCATCCAGTTCCAACCCCCTGCTGTGTGCAGGTCACCAACCAGCAGCCCAGGCTGCCCAGAGCCACATCCAGCCTGGCCTTGAATGCCTGCAGGGATGGGGCATCCACAGCCTCCTTGGGCAACCTGTTCCAGTGCCTCACCACCCTCTGGGTGAAAACATTCCTCAGTTTAAAACCATCCCCCTTGTCCTATCACAATCCACCCTTGTAAATAGCTGTTCCCTCCTGTTTTTATGCTCCCTTCAAGTATTGGAAGGCCACAATGAAGTCCAATATTTCCTAAATAAGTAAGAAAAATCTTCATGCAGTCCATAAGAATGAGTGGATGCTGCCCAGTACCACATGGTAGGGTGCCTCTGTGTGGGGCAGAGGTTCCTCTTCTGTGGTGGGAGCACATTGCCCACATCATGCTGTGCTAACGGGCCTTTGTCCCACTTGTCACAAGTAAACCCTCTTTCTGTAGCACAGGAATGCATACAAGTGAATCATTATATGAAGAGAAATGAGACTGCTACATATTCTTACCACAAGCATTTGCTGAATGTTTGGAATATGATGGGAAGGGTGGGGAGAGAGCCATACTGCTGCATGAGAAACGTGAAAACAGTGAAGTCAGGGGCTGCAGATAAGATTAGACTGGAATGTCCAAAGTAATTAGTGGCAGGAAAAAAAAAAATGGATAAACAATGAAAATGAAACTTCCAAATGAATTAGGTCTTGGTTTGGGAGCACTGTGTTCGTGGATTACAGAGATGCTGGCAGCTGCTCTGTCCTGTAGCTGGGGGAAGGGCTCACAGCGAGCACTGAGCGTTGTTCAAGGATCTTCCTTCTCTGTGCCTGCTGCCATAACGATGGGCAGAGCATTTCAGACACTCGTTTGTTCTCTCCTGGGTGTGCTGTGTGGTCAGACTCGTGCAGCTCAGGCTTTAAGCGCTAGAGGTTTACTCAAAACGTTTGTGCAGGTGTTGAGGCTGAGAATGTTCTCTTTCTGAGATGCTCATCGTTGCTCCGTGTCCTGGTAGCTCACCTTCCATTGTCCTGCTCCGTTCAGTCAGCAGCAACTGCTTCCTTAGCAGAGCAAAATTAGGGAAGTGGCCGTTTTCTGTTTGCATCAGTGCAGTCAGTGCTTCTGACTTGTGTGAATCGGCTTAGTCATGTTGCTCTTTGTTGTTCATTGACTTTTGATTTCAACTGGAAACCAGAAGAGTCAGCGTCACAAGTAAGTTCTGTGTCATATACCAGCCTGGGGGCTTGTCTAACACTTGTCTGCTCAAGGACCACTGCTGGTTGCTTATCATTTGGGTGTTGGTAATTACAGTGAAAAGTTCTTGAATACTAGGTGGATACTCATTTATCTCAGTCATCTGGGAACTAATGATCAGTGTGGTCACCAAAATAGGCCGTTCACCACTGCTGAAATACTGGAGGCATCTTATTGCAGTGCAGTGCCATAGCAGTGCTTGGACCCTGTGCCTCGCTGCTTCCAGGAGCAGAGTTCCTGGCTTCCCTGCGCTTGGAGGGTGGGCAGGAGACCAGGAGCAGCTCCTCAGGACTTACCTCATATTTTCCACTGTCTCCCAAGATAAGGACGTGTGTGTAAATGCCAACGTATGTCATCAGAGCAACTTCCAGAGAAAACAAAGCGCTAGGAAGCACTGCAGGCTTTCCGTGCCTCAGTGCCCTGCAGGCGCCCTGCCTCGAACCGATGGAATTTAACAGACGCGTGCTTTTGCTAATGGCATTTTGCAGAGTGAGGGTTTGTTTCTGTTTGCAGAACACTCTTCTCCAGGAAACGGTGCGCAGAGAGTGCGAGGAACGCTATGAGCTGACTGCAGCTTTGACTCAAGCCAGGGAACAAGTGCTGCAACTCAGAAAGCTCAGTGGAAACTTGCCGTTATCGCCGCGTTCCCTGCCTCGGGGCAGCCTAACCTCCTCCCCTGCTCTGCGTGCTGATTACGGGCGCAGCGGCCGCCCCGGCCCAGGGGGGGCCGTCCATCCCTCCGGGCAGGTCGGTATTCCCCGAGCTGTGCAGGCACCCGCTGGCAGACCCAGCAGCGGGACTTTGCCAGCTCTCAGAGGCCGGGAGAGCGCGGCCAGGAGAAGGCAGCGGAGCCAACTGTGACACGTGGGGGAGCCCTGCGGTGTCAGCCGTGGGCCCTGGGCATCAGGTGTTGATGATGAACTTGGTGCGATTCTACAGCTGAGAATGAAGTTACGTCCTGAGATGTTTTTGATGCAACAATGTTTATTTGTCCGTTGCGCATCAGTGTAATTAAATGCTATCTACGTTCCGAGATGGGAAAAGAATGAAAAAATAATTGCCTCTCAAAAAGGTGCACGTATTCAAGAAGTGTAATTAAAATAATTACCAACTTCAAAGGCTGTTCTCCCTTAAGCACTTTGTTGGAATTTTCCCATTTTGTATGTTGTGTTGTCCCTTGTAACTTCATTGTGTGTTTCTGGTGTAAAAATGCAGTTTGTTTGGTTAGAACCAGATTTATGCCATCGTTTCATGGAGCAGCGTGCAGCCATTGCTGGGCAGCCTCCCCCAGACACTGCAGCCATCTTCCCAACAGTGCCAGCACGGACCTGAGCTACTCAGCTGGGGAGAAGTTGGATGGGAGCACCCTGGGGATTGTCAGAGCAGCAGGATCGCTGAGGCTGCCTGCTCCTAGTTGGGTTTTAGGACTGGGCTCTTTCTGCATTTGGAAACATGGAGTTGCTGGTTTGCAGGATGCTTGTAAGCACAAATACATTTGTACTTGCACCATGAACCTTGACTATATCATTTCCGAGTGGTGAGGTGGCCCTGTGTGTGCCAAAGTGACCACGTGTCATGGTGCTGGAGTAAGATAGAATTGCTTTGCTGAATCCAGTGGCATAGCAGGGAATACATGTCACATAATAAAGTTAGTGGGAGAAGCAACCATGGCAGATTTGGCATCCTGGGCTCGATTTTGAGGTGCACTTTGTCTTACTCAGCTTCTGTTCCCACCGAACCTTTACTGACCCTTTCCATTACTGAACCTTAACCTCAGTGGTAGCAGAGTGCATCCAAAAGCTCAGAAATCCCCTACTCTCAAATTCAGAAAGCAGCAGGAATTCAGTGGCAACAATCAATCGTAGGCACAGCGGAGATACCTGGAAGCAAAGTCACAGGTAAGTGGCTTTGGTCACTACTTTGTGTTTTATTTGTTAAGGTGTTTAAAAAATGGCAGTCTGAAAGATGTGGAAGTAATTCCACTGAAACACAGCTGCATGAAATCCGTTTTTCAGCCATTGCACAGAGGCACAAAGAAAGATTGGGTGTTCCCTTCTGAGCTTGCTGAGAATTATTAATTTTATTGTTGTTGCTTAGGAGAAATCCTGACTACTTTGAGCTTGAAAAGTGTTACTCTGTTACCCACCTGCAGCCTTCCTGTGCTGAAGGAGCAGACCTTGGTTGAGGCACTCTTGAAATGGTGAGTTCCAGAGCACTGGTGTGTCAATCTTGAATAAAACTCTGAGATGAACTTCAATTTTATTTTACTGACTTAGGGAACATTTAAATTATGCAGTACATTAATTTGTATTTTACTTGCTCAGACCACTGTGGAACAGACATGAGGGTGAACGCTTGTGACAGTTGATATAATAGAGAGTTGAATGCTGGGTTTTTTGTACTGAAGAAGTGAGATGCATGCAGTAATGCCTCTGTGCTTAAAGCAGAGAGCAGAGCTGGATTAGCAGCCTCCCTGGCTCTGTTCCTGTGCACAGAATGCCCAGCTCTGCATGGTGCTGGCCCATCTTGTCCAGTGCTGCGGGGCTGAGAGCTGGGCTCCTGGCTGCTGGTTGTGTCCTGCAACACCTCCCTAAGGAAGGCTTCACGTTGATAAATCCTGGGAAAGGAGTAGCATGTGGAATAAAGAGAGCAGTCACAGAAGTAATGTTTGTAGCGTGAGGGGAAGCATAAATCATGAACCCCCACTGAGTCAGGAGCCAAGACTTCCCTCATTCCCATAGCTTGCAGAAACCCAGAGCTCGTGCTGCTAAGCAATAACCAAAGTGGATTAATATCAGGAAACCTTGTTCACCAGCTTTTGCAAAGTAACCTCACAAAGTCGAGGAAAGTTTACAAAGCATTTCTCGCAGTGGGGTGAAGCAGAGCAGCAGAGTGCCATGGAGAAGGCAGGCAGCTGATTCCCTCCCCACATTTCAGGAAATGCAGCTTCCTGGAGGCAATGCATTTTGTAGAAGCTGTGTCATTTATGAATGGGTTTTTCTTACGCTGGACCTTGCACTCTAGGACTCACGGCACCAGGGAATACTGGAAACCACAAGGTTGGAACAAATCAGCCTCTGTGGCTCCTGAGCTGCCTGCAGGAAACAGCCATCCTCTCACTCCTCAAGGTTGCAGGAAAGTGGCCTGTGGCTGTTTGACTCGTGCAAAGGCTGCTCCGTTGTTCCTTGGCAGAGCTGATGTTGCCTGGTTGGGAGTGGAATCCTGAATCTGTCCTTACAGCATTGACTGAGTTAGTAGCTGCTGTGCTGCATAGCAGGATAGGAGGCCAGGGTGTGCAGCAGGACTGGGAGCAGAGCTCAGAGCAACACCTGGCAGTGCAGCCCAGGGCTGGCACGTGGGGTGGTTCTGCAAAGGAAGAAAGCAGACTTAGGGAAAAAATCATTGTGGTGTCATAGCAGCCTTGAAAGTGTGTGGAAATAGCTGGACCCAGTGCCATAGGTCAGCAAAATGTATTCATCAGAAGGAAATGCATTTGTTTGAAGAAGTGGTTGTGCTGTGCGATGTTCTTCACTTTGAATTCTTGTTTGGGCTCCTGGTGTTTTATAGTTCCCTTTACAGCCTGCAGCGTGCTGCAGAAAGCACTGCCTGCCCTTAATGCAAAAGAAAAAGTGTAGGAATGGAATCAGGGAAATTTCCTGTCTCAAACAAAAGCTGCATGTCTTTATTTTCAGTTGTTTAAAAGCATATTTGCAGACTGAAAAGTTGATGTGAGGTTGTGTCTTTAATTGCTGTTGTTATTTGAGTTTATTCTGCTAATGAAAGGATAAACCATATGCAAGTGCAGTGCTGTGAAGTAATGGAATCAAACATGCTTAGCACTTATGTGGCTTTTTTCATCCTCAAAGCATAGTACAAAATTAATTTTGATAGGATAATAAAAAGGATGCTGTAAAAGATTAATGCTGAAGAGGTTTTAACACCGGAAATACAATTTGTGTGATGGAAAACATGGGCATCTGGCATTGCACTGTGAACTGTTCCCAGATAATGAAAAGAAACCGCTTCCGAGCAAGTGTGGCCAGATCCAGCAGGGTGTTTTTGCTCCTCTCTATCTCAAGAGACACCTCCTATCTTCTGACAGGAGCGAGCCACAAATCTTCCCAAGCTGCAGTTTTCCATCTGGAACCTTGAATTGCTGCTGAGTTAAGGTCAGTGCCGGGATGTGGCTGTGCTGCTTGCCAGTAAGCCAAGGGACGATGGCTGGGGAGCCTGCAGAAGTAACATTTCTGTAACGTGTGGCTGGATCTCACTGCAGCCATTCAGCTAAACCCAGTCCAGTTCCATCAGTTCTTCTGGCAAAAGCAAGCATGTGTGGTTAGAAGTTAACTTACAATACACATATCATACCAGCTGGCTGTGATTTGCCTTACACTAACAGTCCTACAGTCCTTCACAATGTGCTTCACGTGGAAAAGTGAGGAAAATACCAATTAGAGGTGCTTGGCAGAGAGGAGCTTGGGGTGAGCAGCATGCTGCAGTGCAGTGAGCAATGCAGGCTGTGATGGGTGCACATCGTGCTGGGAAAATGATGCCATTGTCAGACTTTGTAAGCCATGGGTTGTGTTGCATGCACTGTATTTGTTCTTTGCCTTCGTACTGAAGGCCTTCACTGTACCTCCCCCTATGTGTGGCAGGCTTTGTGCTGTTGCCTTGTCACACCACGTGCTTTGCTCCTTGCACTGCAGGCCAAGTAAGTGACAGGTTGAAATTCAGCCCTGATCTGTGTGCAGGGCAACTTTCAAACAGGGCAAATGCTGAGCAACAAAATGTGTTCGTCTGGTCCCTGTGCAGCATTTGGTCTGCTTGTGAAATAGCAGGAATCGTGAGCAGACAGACATGCTGATCAGATGTCTGCTCTGTGTTCTCTGCCATGCACTCAGTAGAACTCAGAACCGAATGGATGCGTTGATGCAGGAGGTTCTGGGCATGAAGCCTGTCTGAAGGCACGAGGAAGTGGCACCAGCTCAGGTCTGAGCACTCACTCCAAGCTGCAGCACAGCCTCAGGTGAGCTGTCACCTTTTGGGAGCAGTGCCAGGTCGTAGCGTGGAGACTCTTCTTTGCTCCTGTGCTGCACTTGTGCTTTGAACACCAGTGGTGTTGAGCACTGCCAGCTGCTTTGGAAGCGGTGTAGATTTCAGTATCTCCCCAGAATCCATTAATTTCTGAATGTCAGGAACTTAAACGATGACACAAATCCATTTTAGCCTGTAAAACCTGTCGTTGCTGGTTCCTCAATCCCATAAATGTACAGGAACTGGTTCCTTTAGAGGAGCCTGTTATTTCCAAACATTCATTGCGTTTGAAATTTCCTGTTTGCACACTACTGAATGCTAATTTGTTAGGGTTGCTTTTATTCCAGTTCTGACAGAGATTCGGATTGGCAGCAGTGACAGTTTGGAATCCAGGCGGCGCGCTGAGCAGGAGGCACAGCTGCATGCAGCAGACTCAGAGCATTTCACTTTCCATTTCTTGCTGGCTGCAGGGTGTGGTGGGCTGTGTGCTGCTGCTCAGCATTCGGAGGAGCTCACAACGGGAGCATCAGTGCCTGACTGTGGTGGATGCAAAGAAACCATCTGCGATCTGAGGCGTGTGGAAGGTCTGTAATGCTGCAGACAACCTCTGAACAAAGTACAAAAGGAGACAGTGAAGCATGTCGGTCACAGGATGGGGCAGGGGTGCACTTTTAAGGGGTTTCTTCAGGTCGATTGTGGAAGCAGCTTGCTCTCAGCACAGCTACAACCATGGACAACTTGAGGGCCAGTGCCTTTTGCTGAAATGGCATGAGAGGGAGCTGGAGCTGTCTGTGCTTTAGAATCACAGAATCATTAAGGTTGGAAAAGACCTCGGAGATCCCCAGCCCACCATGCACAGGGCCCACATCCCTCCGTGCCATATCCTCACAGTTTGGACCCCCTGCTCCCTGAGCAGCTGTACCAGTGTCTGACCACTCAGAGAAGAAATTTTTCCTGATTTCCAACCTGAAGCTCCCTTGGCACAACAACTTGTAGCCGTTGCCTCTTGTCCCATGTGGTTTTCTAGTTTTTTGGCTTACTGTAGTCTTTGTGCTGTTTGGTGACTTTGGGCAATATTCTTAGCAGCCGTTTCAATCTGAGTGCCATCAGGTGACTGGTACCTTCAGCATAGATTTCACATGCAAAATGATATTTCTCAAAGCCTCTCTGTGAAAGCCGGGGTGCCTGTCCTGTCCCTGGCAGACCTGTTGTGCATCCTGCCAAACCTTGTGCACTGAAACTGTGGGCTGGCTCTCAGTTCCACATTTCTGCATACAGATGGCTCAATATGCCCTTCTGCTTGAAGCTGTCTGATGACACCTGGGCAGATGAGAGCCAGAGGAGCATGGAGCATGCTGGCCCTTTTCCACCTGGGAGCAGTTATGGTAAATCTGGGAAACGTGGCTTTTTTATGGCAAAGGTAAGAGTAGAACACGTGTTCAAAGCCAAGGTCCACACTTCCTGTCCCTTGCCCTATCCCCTCCTGCTGCTTCCTGAGATGCAGCTTTCCTAGCAGCTCACCCCACCCCCATCATTTCAGGGCCAAAGTGGAGGCTTTGGGCTGGAGGAAGCGCAGAGGCCCAAATCCAAAATTGGGTGGCCCTTCTCTCAGCAGCATGGCGTTGTCCTGAGGGATGGCTCAGTTTTGGTGGGTGTCGAGCACTTGTGGTCAGCAGCAGCCACAGCCAACTCTGCTGTAGTTTTCACTCACTGAAGGAGTAAACAGCAGAGAAAGTGTGGAATAGTGTGGGGTGGTCCCGGCTGGGAGTCATGGGGTGATGACATTTAGCAGAGGAAAGTTTCAGCACAGCGCAAAGGAAAATGTCCTGAGGCTGTGCTGGCCCTCAGGGGGATGGGAAGAGCCCCATGGCCTGAGTCACCGGGGTGGGCAGGAAAGAGCCATGGAAAATGGGCAGTCAGGAGCAGCCCTGCTGGCAGCAGCCTGTGACCTACATGGGATTTTCCGACTCCCAGTTTATGTGAAGTGGAAAGTGACTTATTTTGCTTAACTTTGCTTTCCTCTAATGAGTAGTACCTAGAGGGGAGGGAGGTGCAGAGCTTGGGGTAAGGAGCAGGAGCAGCACTTCCCCATTGCTGCTGGTTCGGGCTGGGGGTCGCATCTCTGTGCTGCCCACATGTCCCTGCAGTGGCACTGCTTGCATATCCCTGAGAAACGAGACAACCCAGGTGGTGCAGGGGTGCCTCTCTTACCTCAAGAGTTGCTGCTTTTTCTCCATATCCAGGTCAGCTGAGAGGCACTGAGTCGGCAGCACGATGTGGGGATGGAGATACCCCCAGAAGGGTGTTTGGAAAGTCCTGCAAATCCACCAGAACTGCACGTGATGAAGGGTAACTGTGCACAAAGTGCTGAGGAGGGCAGGCTGCCTCTCCTCACAGGAATCCGAGACTGATGCTGCTTTCTGAGCGCTGCCTGTTGTGAATCACTGGCTTTGATGGGAATCCATTTAGGCATCCATTTCTGCAGCTGTTTCCTGTGTATGTGGAGCATTGTGTGAGCTGTAGGAGTGTTTCAAGTTACCAGGACAGGGTGGTCACTTTAATCATCGTGAAGATCTGAACAAAGAACCACATGTGCATTTTGGGAAGAGTACCTCAAAAAAGGAACACCAGCAACCCCCAGAAGTGTGCAGAAAGAGGTCAGATGGGGGGGATGATTTATGGCCGCTGTGGGTGTAACCAAGTAGCAGCATTGCCTCACTGCTTTTATAGGTTGCTGGTTGCCAACTTAATTATGTTTGCTGATGTCTTTTTTGGGTTTTGTTTTTGTAGATTCCTGCTAAAAATAGCAGCAGCACCTCCTCGCAGGGTTACTGAGGCAGCTGCTGGAGCTCAGAGGAGACTGTAATTCATATGCTAAAGCCACACAGGGATGGCTGGGCTTTGTAATTCCTGTGCTATAAAGCGAAAGAAAGAAGCGAAAGTTACATCTGAAGAGCCCACAGAAATTCAAGAGGGTGAGGATATTCCACTCCTGCTGTGCTCCTCATGGAAGGAAGCACCACTGTACCAGGGGATGGCACTGAGGATTCTGTTGGCACACACAGCACACCTAGCAGGTATGCAGCTGTCCTGGGGGACCACGGTCCTGGTGCTTACAGTGAGATGCTTTCTCACCCTTTATCTTTGCTTTTGTTTAGGTGCTGTGGAATTACTTGCAACCCTTCCCTTGCTCCATCACACTAGCAGCTGCTGCTGTTTCGTGTTGTCGCACCACGTGTATGTCACTAAAAGCAGCCCTGGCCCCACTCATGCTGCTTTACTCCATCCTCTTTTCAGCCTGGTTACTGTGGTGGGGATCCAAGCTGAGCTCTGCCTCCTGGAGAGATCTCGCTTGTGTCCTGCTGCTGGGTTTTGCCATTGAAGGAGGGAACAGGTCACACACCTGGATTTGGGTGCTCTATTTGGATTTGCTGTTGGCGTCCCCCTTCATCTGCCTTCCATGGTACCTTACCTGGGTGAGGTTTTAGAAATAGAGCCACTGCTGGCTGTGGGGCACAGCTGGGACCTGCTCTGAAGCCCCTCATGCAGGATGGGTGCTCCATTGCCAGCACTGCTGTGCTGGGCTGTGATCTGGGCCGCGCTCAGGGCTCTGCCGTGTTGGGAGCCCATGTGAGCATAAAACAACACCCAGCCCCAAGCTGTGTTGTGTCAGCTCATGTAACCTGACAGATCTCCTCAAATAAGAACCATATGGTAGAGATAACATCTTTCTTGCTTGCGGTTTCCTTGATGGCAAACTACTGTGCTATAACCCCCGAGTGTCCAGTTCAGTTATAAACTCACCACAGATGGAAACTGGAAATAGAATGGAGAGCTGGTTTGGGTCTGGCAGGGGCTGAGAGGGATGCAGTGGCACGCAGGCTGTCACACTCTCTGGATGCAGCAGCATGACCTGCCTGGGCTTGGAAGTGATGTTTTGACCAGCAGTCCCTCATTAAATCATTCTCCCCACCCTGCCTACCCGAAGCTGTTTTTTGGCTATGGAGCTGTGCCCTATGCCCTCCTCGAACTCAGGTGGAAGCACGAGGTGCCATTCCCCTTGGGAAGTGGCAGCCTTTCCAGCACGCAGGAGCCACGTGCTAGAAGGGGCAGCTGAGAGCTTGGAGCAGCCCCAGGCTGCTTCTGCAACCCCGGGGCAGCATCTGATCCTGCGGGGCTTAAAGTGACCCCCAGCTACTGCCTGCTGCTCAGAGCAGCCTCAGGTTGGGCAGCACTGTGCCTTGTGGCAGCGCCCTGCATGCACAGAGTGCTGCATGAGTGCATGCATGCGCATGCACAGGCTGCTCACGTCTGCTTTGCAACACTTCCACCTACAGAATAAAACCCAGAATGGCAGCAGAGCAGCTGATGGCCCTGGGGAGCAGCTCAGCCTTAACAAGGAGTTTTGTTTCTTGGGACAAAAATGGTACGTTTTTGGCAATTTTTTTCTTACCATTGGAATATAAAGATTTTTTTTTTTCTCACAACAGCTTTTTTTAATGTTACTGCTTTCCAAAGACCCTGCTGGTTCACAGCCAGGCAGGAGCTGGGAAGGGGAAGCTGCTTCCTTCACAGAAGTGTTTTTTCCTCAGCAGGGTGCAGCCACCAGAGCCCCGCAGTGATAATGCGAGCCATGGGCACAGGCTGGGAGTGCAGCATGACCCCGTGGGAACTTCCTGAGGGAAAGCAAGTTTGAGGCAGGGCAGTGCACCTCCTGCACTCACAGTGCCCTCACAGCAGCAGCTGTACAGAAGCACTCTGCATTTCCCAAGGAGAGGCCCTCAAGGCAGCACCCCGTGCTTTGCCCGCAACACTGGCAGCTGTTTCCCCGTGCGTGAGCTCCTCCCTGCCGGCCCCATCCCAGCACCTCCATCTGCTGGGCCGCAGCCTTTGCCTGGTCTCTTCTTGCTCTGAATTGCAGCTCTGATTGCACAGCTTTATGCTCTTGCAGCACTTTGCTGTTGGAACAATTTCTTGCCAGAAGCACAGCACCGTGTGCCTTCCTGCTCCCTCTGGCTGCCATCTGCTGCCCAGCACAAAGCAAACGTGGGGCTGCTGCTGCCCATCTGCTCAGCAAAGAGCCAACCGAGCAGCCTTCCTGACTGCAGCCACTGCACCGGGGGCTGCAATTGCTGGAAGTACCAAGGAGACAGAGAGGGAGGACAGCAATGCGTTTCGTTGTGCTTCAGCTGGATGCTGCAGCACTGAGCCCAAGTGGGTCCTGCTCTCATCCATCCTGGCAAGAGAAAGCACGGTGAGTCAAGCTGGGGCTGGGGAAGAGGGAAACTACTCTTGCAGTGGAGTGTCACAGAGTATGGTAGGTGTTTTGTTCTTGTTTTTTTTTTTTTTAAACCATAAAAGCATTTCCACTCTGGGGCTGAACCTTTAGATGTGGTTTCACTGTGTTCCATAGGGCGCTGCAGAGCACAGAGCACACAGCAATTGCAGAAGAGGGACAGAGGCTGCTGTTGACTGGGAGCAGAGGCTCCACTCCCTGAGCTCCTGCTGATGCTGTACAGCCACGTGCTGTGAGCAGGCCCTAAAAGCAGGAGAGAGATGTAAGAGTGCATGTAACAGTATCCTCCAACCTTTTGCTTTTGTGATTTGGACTTCAGTATCACCTAATGACGTCTAGTGGTAAAAAAATAAGGCAGGGCCACCAGTAAACAAGGCTGTGACTTACCATGCATTGATTTGTTAGTGCAGTGGACCCAGGGCTCAGACTTTGCTCACTCCCTCAGTGGTGATGCCACTGCACGATGCTGACCCTCGTTTAGTAGTGCTTTGAGACAGATCATCTCCTTTTGTTTCATTAACCAAAACCATTTATTTTAGGGTCCATTTTTGGCAGTCATTACGTGGTTAAAGCTGCCATCAGTAAAGCTGACTGAACACATCTTTTTTCCTCAGGAAAGAAGACGAGCACTGAATCGCTGCCTGCGAGCTCACAGTGTAAGCAATCTGCAGCAGATGGTGCCCAGATGTTCCCCATCACCAGATGTTCCAGCTTTACGCAGAAGACAACTCCTGCTCTTCAGCTCTGGAGCGAGGGCACTGGGAGCACAGAAGGGCAATCAGTGCTTACACACAAACACCAACACCGAGGCTGATTCTTCCTTAAAGTTTCACCACAAGACACAAACTTCTGACACCCAGGGGAGCCTGAGCTAACCGTGCTGCCTGGAAGCCAGGCTGTTATGGCTGCCCAGGGCTCCATACTCGTATCTGTGGAAAAGTTACCTTCATTTCCATAGTAACATAACACTGCTGCCTTCAGAAAGTTCTAAGTACAAACCAAGTTACTGCAAATACGTATACATGTGTTTTAAAGAGGTAACCAAGAAATAAAGGAATGCGTTTATCTGACCAAAGTTGGAACAAAGATTTCATTGCTTTCTGAATTTCTAGCAGATAGATGCAGCTGGGGTGCAGGCAGCTGACTGCCATCCTGCTGCAGGAACAGCAGCTCCAAGGAAGCCTTTGCTCAGTCACCTTCCCCCTCATCTCTTCAGAGCTCTGCAGAATTCCTGGCCATACCACAACCTGCTCCTGGAAGCACCCAGGTGCTCTGTCAGCTCACATGGCCTCAGGCTTCGTCCACCTGCACACTGCGGCCACGTGAAGCACACTGCAGACCTTCAACTGGGAGCAGCATTGCAGCACATGCAGTTCTTTGTGTCCACAAAGATGGGGTGCAGGGAGAGGGAGAAAGTCACAAACCTACGGGCACTTCTGGCACATTGGCTGCAGCAGTTTACAAGCATTTTAACTCTGATCCTTCTGCACGTACACAACTCCTCCCTTCCCTGCAACCACCCAGCCACCAGTACTGAAAACGGGGAAGAAAACCCTGAACAGCCTCTTGCCCTGCTTTGTTCTGCCAGCTCCACCAAGCAGAGGAAGCAGGAGCAGCAGACAGCGAGACATGAGCTCCTGGCTGCAGCAGCTGAGGGAGGTACAGGGCACGGCCCAGCAGGGCAGGATGCTGGCACTCAATGTTCTGTGAAATGCAGCCCCTTTCCTTCTCAGCCTTTCTGCCTGCTCCCACCTGCTGCTCTGTCCCTGAGCTTTGCACACTTACACCATGCTCCTGTGCTCCAACTGCTGTCTGTCCTCCTTACTACCCCACTAAGCAGCCCACAAACTTCTGATGCATTCCAGGGTTCCCTTTAAGCTACTCCCCGCCCTTTGACCACAGCAGAAGCATGCCCAAATGCCCAGCATTCCATTCCCATCCAACCTTCAAAGCACCACATTAAAGAAAATCCTTTTAGCAGCTTCACTATTTGACATCCAGTAGGCAGTAGAAAAAGCCTTAGATTTTATTTCTTGTAAAAATCTTTTAACACATGCAGACTAAAACCAGTGTAAGAAAGTATCCACCATCGTTTAAACAAATAACTATACTTAAATATAAGTGTCTGCAATTGACTTGTATAAAAATAAGGTACATTTTGCTTTTGTACAGAAATCCATTCTCCAGTTCTCATATCAATAAACAATACACACCTCTAATACATACAGTTCAACCTGATCGCTGTTCTCCATCCGTCTGATACTGCTAAGGTATTATGTGCAAAAGTTGGTAACAGTTTCTTTCCCAAAAGAAAAAGGCTCTACTTGTTTTAGAAAAATCAGATACTGGGTTTAAATTAATCAAATGCTCATCGATTCCCTTGCTCTCCCCCGAGTCCATTCTGTGTGTTATGTACAGGCTCCGCCGGAACCCAGCCAGGCTCACTGCTCAGCGCCTGTGCCTGCTGTGCCCCGACCGGCTGCTGCTGTGATGTTTCCCTTTGTGGGACCTCTCGAAGGAGCGGGATCTCTCACGCCTGTCTCTGTGGTGCCCCCTCTCATGCCTGTGTTTCTTGGCAGCATCAGAATGATCCCTGGATTTGCTCTGCGACCGCGAGCGAGACTTTTTCCTTTTGTGGCCGTGTCTGTTTGCACTCTTCAGCTCCTCCCTGCCGTGCTTGGCCTTCAGGTGCGGAGAGCCGTGGTTGTGGTGCCTGCGAGGGCTGCCGCTGTGGCTGCGGGATCTGCTTCTCGACCTCGAGCTGTACGTGCCAGACAGACTGCGCCTGTTATTGTAGCTTTCAGAAGTGACACAAGGTTAAAACGTGTCATTCACACACACACAAAAGCTTATTTTCCTGTTCAGAAGCTTCCAGCTTACTGGGAGAAATCCCTGTGCAGAGGGGCTAACTGATGGGCGAGTGGCCTTCTCACAACACCAT